AGTCTTGGGCCATGGCCATGATAATTGTTTGAAAGTTGAACTAGGGTAAGTATGTATTATTGAAAGGGTGACATGTTTTTTAGGGCTTGCCTAGGTTTTAGGGGCTCTAGGCTGGGCCTAGACTCTTAGCCATCCCCAAGTCTTGCCCATTGAGGCTTCCATGTGCAGGTGTGTAGTAAAAAGGGACTCGGAACAACGTCTGGGTTGTATAGAGAGCCCCTGGATGTTTAGTGTTCTGAACTCTGGACACACTACCTTTGTCGACAGGAGACAGAAGAAATCCTGGCTGATGTGCTCAAGGTGGAAGTCTTCAGACAGACAGTTGCTGACCAGGTGTTAGTAGGGAGCTACTGTGTCTTCAGTAATCAAGGAGGTCTGGTGCACCCTAAAACTTCAATTGAGGACCAGGACGAGCTGTCCTCCCTTCTTCAGGTTCCCCTTGTGGTAAGCATTCCTGCCTTCTGACCCCTGTCTACTAGAGGGAATCCCTTTTGTCAGTCCTGGGAATCTGGGTCATCACCTTCCCTAGTGTGACACACGGAACATGCTTTGGGAGAAGAGTCCTCACTTGAAGTTAAAAACTGTGACTTATGTTGAGCTCACCCTCTGCAGGCTGGCACTGTGAACCGAGGGAGTGAGGTGATTGCTGCTGGGATGGTAGTGAACGATTGGTGTGCGTTCTGTGGTCTGGACACAACCAGCACAGAGCTGTCAGTGGTGGAGAGCGTCTTCAAACTAAATGAGGCCAAGCCTAGTACCATTGCCACCAGCATGCGGGATTCCCTCATTGACAGGTAACTTTGTCCTTTTTTTGTTTTGTTTTTTGAGACAGTTTATATATATATATATATATATATATATATATATATATATATATATATACACACACACACACACACACACACACGCACGCACACATTTTTTATTGTTATTTATTGAGCTGTACATTTTTTCTCTGCTCCCCTCCCTGCCTCTCCCCTCCCCCCTTCAATCCTCCCCCGAGGTCCCTATGCTCCCAATTTACTCAGGAGATTTTTTTTTCTTCCCCAATTATTGATAGCGATTTATTGATCGCTTACATCATCTGCTAGCCAGACAGGACTCGAACTCGGGTCCTCTGGAGGAGCGTTAGGCGTTCTTAGCCTCTGAGCCACCTCTTGGGCTGGTTACTCAGGAGATCTTGAGACAGGGTTTTTCTGTGTAACCCTGACTGTCCTAGAACTCAGAGATCCGTCTGCATCTGCCTCCTGAATGCTGGGATTAAAGGTGTATGACACTATGCCTGACTTACATTGTCTTTGAGGGGGGAGGAAGCTATGTCATTGAACCAGAGCCATGTTGTGTTCGGAAGGTTGTCTTCAAATGTGAGCGTGCATACAACTTAGAGTCCCAAATGTCCCTTGGCATCTGCTCAGACTCAGCCTTCCTTGAAGACTGGGCCCTCTAGGCAGACCTTTCCTGTGATCCATCTTGATCACTGACCATGTTCTGCAGTTTGTATTTGCCTATGTGTCCACTGTCTCTAGCTAGTGGTCTAAACCCTGAGATAGAAAAGGAAGGTGAGACTGTTCTTAACTACTGAGGAGACCCCAGATTGCTAAGGGAGCTCTTAAACAGGTTACAGGTAGATTTTATATTGAAATTAAAATTTAAACCAATGGTTCTTAACCTGTGGATTTCAACCCCTTTGGAGGTTGAATGATCCTTTCTCAGGGTTGCATACCGGGTATCTTGCATATCAGATATTTACATTATGATTCGTAACAGCAACAAGATTACAGTTCTGAAGTAGTAACGAAAATAATTTTAGAGTTGGGGGTCCTTAGAACATGAGGATTAGCCAGGCAGTGGTGACGCACGCCTTTAATCCCAGCACCAGAGAGGCAGAGGCAGGCGGATCTCTGTGAGTTTGAGGCCAACCTGTCTACAAAAGCTAGTTCCAGGATAGGCTCCAAAGTTACAGAGAAACCCTGCCTCAAAAAGAAAAAAAAGAAAGAAAGAATAAAGGGTCACAGGATTAGGAAGGTTGAGAGTCTAGACTTCTTTGGATTAAAAAGCCAACCAAGCTGGGCATGGTTGCTCACTGTCTCTCTTGGGAGGCTGGACCAAGACTTGACTCATCTGGAAGAATAACAGGAACAGATGCTGGGTAGTTTGGCTTCCTTTCTCTCAGCCTGCTAGGGATCTTAAGGCATGCCATACCCAACTAACAGACACCTCTCTGAGGATAGAAACCCTAAAGTGGCAAGAAACAGATCCTTTGTTTACCATGGAAGGACTTTCCCTTTATCCTACTGCATTTGTTTGCACTGATGCCCATGAATAAGGCTGCATGGGGTAATCAGGCAGTATAGTTCTATATCCTGTCCCTAAAGGGTTCATGGTGTATATGGGAGATAGAGTTGCTGCGTGTAACTTTTGGCTGTTAAACAAACAACAAATGGTTCTTTAATTTTCCCCATATGGAAGCTTGTGAACTGTGGGAAATTTTTTGGGATTATAGATGTTTCATGGGTGATATTTAGTCTGCTTCAGTGGGTGAGGAGGTGTTTAAATATGGAGAAAAAAGTGAGGAAGACCCTCGTACAGATAGAGAGATGGGAAATGCTGAGTATATGAAGGATAAAGGTTTTTCAGAGGCTGAAGGCTTCAAATTCCAGTATCAGGAAGTTTGAGTTGTTAGCCTGAGATTTTGAGCTGTAATGGTTGTTGGGTTGCTTGTTTGTGTAGATTCTCAGAATACAGTTGAGCTCCATGACCCAGGCTGGAGATGTGCTGAGGCAGAGCTGTGTGCCACCACACCTTGCTGTGTGCTTGTCTTAATAAGCTGCTCTGAGAAGTTTTGATGAGGACATTTTGCACTCACTCTGACTAACTTCGCTGTCAGAACTGGTGAACAATTGAGAGTTTATGCACTCTAGGCAAGTGCTGTGCCGTCGAGCTACACCCCAGCCTGAGAAGTTGTTCAACAGCGTTTTTTTGTGCCAGACAGTATTAATGTGATGATCAGAACACACCCTGGCCTTTAAAACAATGGAATTTTGTAAGGAGGTAGTGCCAATAATTTAACCAAGAAACAGAAGTTTTGAGGCTAGAGAAATGGCTCAGAGGTTAAGAGCACTGGCTGTTCTTCCAGAGGTTCTGAGTTCAATTCCCAGCAACCAGCCACATGGTGGCTCACAGCCATCTATAATGAGATCTGGTGCCCTCTTCTGGCCTGCAGGGATATATGCAGACAGAACACTGTATACATAATAAATAAGTAAAGAAAAAACTTCTTAAGTAATAACTGAAAAGAAATTTATATAACTTAATAATTGATACCTATCCAAAAAAAACTATAGCAAAATATTGAATTATAGAAACTATATTAAAGTTAAGCAGAGCTGCTAGCCACCGGTCAGTGTGTTTCTGGTAGTCCTTGCCAATGCTATTATACAATAGAAAGGAAAGGTCTTAGGAAGAAAGGGAAGCCTCATTAGTCAGTTTCCTTTGGCTTTTGGACATGTTTAGAGGTGCCCGTAAGACTTCGCAGTGAAGATGCCAGCTTGGCATGGGATGATAGCATAGGGTAAAGTGCTTGCTGTGTAGGCAGTATTCCCAGCACCCACATAAAGTTGGACTCTGTGCCACATGCTGGGAGCTCACTGGTTACTCCAGCAGAAGTGATGGGTTCCAGTTTCAATGAGAAACCCTGCCTGAACATTAAACTGGAGAAACAACTGAGAAAGACATGACATCAACTTCTATATGTGCCTGCATACACAATAAGCATTTCAGTTTCTCTATCAGGCAGTGATTAGCACCTCCAGTAAGAGTGTTTTCACTCTGACCTGTTTTCCAGTCTAGTGTTGTGGACTTTTATATCAGCAGTTCTGGAAAAGGAGGCCTGGCCTCAGAGAGGCTGGTCTGGGCACATCTTGTCCTCACTGACCTTCCTTGCTTCTATCTCTTATGTTCTGAAGCTCAAGTTTATGATCAATAACTGAATAAATTGAAGAAAGGTTACCTAGTAAGGAAAGAATTGATTTTTTCTTTTCAAATAGAGAGTTTTAGGCTAGCCCTTGATATACAGGATTAGTCAAATCTGAAACCTTGGGGACAGGTGGGGTTGAGTGGCTTTTCAATGACTGAATAGAGAGGTCTGGGGTGGGGCAGTGTGTGCCCTGTAAACAGCTACTGATCTATGCTTTCTCTCTGCAGCCTCACCTGAGTCCCCTTCCTGCTGCTGTGTGGCTCCTGCCTCTGGACTTCAGCTCCTTTTCCGTGCCTGAGCTAGTCTGTACCAAGTGCTGGCAGCGGGCCATGGCAGAGAGCTCATCAGAGCTGAATGGTTGATGCCCAATTCTTCACCTGTGCCATCTCGACTATTGTTGCAGAAAAACCTGCCTTGTCATGCCGACTTTCAGTTTTTTTGGCCCCTGGATGAAAGTTCTGCTGTCTTGTGCCCCACCCCATTAAAGGACTGCCTCCCACCATACTCATGTGCTGTCTGTGGATGTCCTCCATTGGCAGCGTTTCCCAGGCTCTTTCAGGGGGGGTGTTGGGTGGGGTTGTCATGCAGTGCTTTCCCTCAAGAAGATGGGAGACCTGAGGGTGTGGGGGCACACCTTAGTCCCAAGGAAAGTGGATATGTAAATTGAGGCCTGCCTGGCTACATAGCAAGTTCTAGGACAACCAGGTACACATAGTGAGACCCCGACTAAGTAAAGATGAACAAGAGGAAGTAGTGTGCCCTCTGGGATTCCTAATTTTAACCCATCTTCTGCCTCTGCTTTCCTGGTCGCAGAATGAGAATCACTGCTCTTCTCTTTGCCTGGGCAAGCACCTTGTGAGGCCACAGGCACAGGGCTTCAGTGTATTCTAACCCTGTCCGACCTTGAGGAAGGTGGAGTAGCCTTGGATGCTACCCCGTCTGATTGGTTCCAGCCGGGCCTTGCTGTGCGTGGGGCGGAGCCTGGGGTCCTGGGTGTGGCTGGCCAGTCCCGGGCCTCTCCCGGCTTGGTGAGCCCGCCCCTAGCGTGCGAAATCCTTTCTAGGGCTCAGTTGCGTCATAACGCTGCTCCGCCCAGGCCAGGCCGCTAAAGCTGTGTTTCCTGCAGAGCCGCTTTCACTTCGCTGCCTAAGGTGAGGGTGGGGTGGGGTAGTGTGTTGGTGGGTGGGGTGACCCCTGCTCTGGCCTGGTGCCTAATGGACTTCTGTTACAGACCATGGGCGCTTTCCTGAGTGGTGGCCAGGATGGTCCGGAGCCCGCGCAGCCCCAGCCTCCGGCGCCAGAGGGTCCGCAGCAGCCTCAGCCCGAGCCCGGCCCATGGGGACCACTGGATGATGTGCGCTTTCTGATCGCCTGCACATCCTGGTACTGACCCGGTTACCCCTGGCCTACGTGCCCTCTTGGGTCTGGCCCGGCTGTGTCTCCTCACTCCATGATTTCTTACTTCCTCACTCTGGGCAGAGATTCAGGAAAGACCCTAGAGACTGGAAGTCCCACAGGGCGACCTCGGGGGACTGCTCCCCAATCTCTCAGATTTGTTCCTTCCTCACCAGCCCCTGAACCAGATCATTTCCAAGCCCCTTTGCAGCTCCGTCCTGGGGCAGCCTCACTGAAAAGAAGAACCAGGACCAGATGTGGGCCTTCTAGCAGGATCTGATACTGTTGAACTCTGGTTTCCCTTGCTAGAACTGAGCTGCTGATGGTGTCTCAGGCCACGGGCCCTGTGCCCTGTCTCCAGAGAAACCTTGCCACAGTGACCCTCCCATACTCCTGAGGTACCTGGAGGGAGGACATCTAATTGCTGGCTAGCAGATGTGTGAGGCAGCTGCAGAACGCCCCAGTGTACCCTTCTCTCAGTAGCTTTTTAAGGGCACACTCAGGCCCTCGTCTTTGTTCCCACACCCCAGGGAAAAGACGCTGTATTTCTGTTTTATTTAGAAATGATTTAAAAAACATCATACAAAGGCTGATCAGTTTAAAATGTGACCGACACTGAGATGCTGTGATGTCACCCAGGCTGAGGGGAAGCCGAGCTCTGGGGGCCCTGGTGCTTTGCCCCTCTGACTGCTCTGGCCTGGGGTGATGGACAAACAGATGACTGCAGGCAGAAGAATCCAAGATTGGAAGCCTCTAGGCTGAGCCCTCTGGGCCCGGCCCTGCATCCCTCACACCTGCAGCCTGGGCTGCCTGCCTCCATCTCCTGCTCTTTCTCAACTGGTCTTGGAGTACCAGGAGCCAACAGGGAGTGTGCGGGGCCTAGAGCTTTCAAGAAGTGAGAGCACCAACCTGAGGAGAGGGACCAGGAAGTTGGGGGAGGGAGGCCCAGAAGAGAGGACTAGAAAAGACATTGATCTCAGACCCTAGAAGGGCCCACAGATGGGAACACAGACCCAGCCAGGGCCACTGATGGCAGGGGTAGATAACAACACTTCCCTGGGCTACATTTGAGGGCAAGATGAGGGCTGCCCTCAGTCTCTTAGGGCTTTCGTGTAAGTGGACAGGTGTGAGCTAATAAAGTGCTTGGCAAAGTATAAAACACCGTACAAACCTATGAATCACTAAATCTCGCAGCTGTTCCCCGCCTGCCCCAGGGAGCCTGCCCTTGGCCAAAATGAGAAAAAAACCAGAATGGTGATGACGGGGCACAGTGCACCCATACAGATGCTTCTGGGACAAGAGACTTTACTCAATAGCTCCCAGGGCAGCAGGAGTCCCTGTCTGTGCTACAGGGTAAGCTAACCCAAATGCCAGAGGCCTCCGGGCAAGGCCCATGCAGGCTCAGGGCAGGGTTAGTGTCGGCACCCCACAAGCACCCTGAAGGCTCTGCCCCCTCACTGCTTTTGGACTTTGGCAAAGAGCCAACAAGCATCACCGCACCCATTGGTCTTGCCTAATGACAAGCATGGCTGACAGACTGGAGCAAGTTAAGCCTAAACCTAGGAGCTCCTATTGGATGTGAAGGGCCTCAGGTTAAAAAGAAAAGAGGGAAGAGAAAAGAAGAAGAAAAGTGGGGTGGGGTAGGGAGTGAGGGAAGCCCCTAAGCTTGGGGCTGCTGCCAGCTAGGAGTACCGTTTTCCTAAGAGCAGTGCAGGAAGATGGGCCCAGTGAGCTGGGCTGCCAGGGTCAGGACTGGAGCACAAACACTGCCTCCAGGCTGAGAGATTGAGTTGCCTCAGGGTCACTGGGCTGTGGATGGAGCACTTAAAAGGCTGTCCTGGTCCTACTCTGAGGCTGTGACTGGTGGCTCTAGAACCATCTCTGCTTCACCTACCTACTCAGACTGAGCGCCCATGCCACAAAAGACAGGATGGAGCAGGGCTGGGGACAACATTAATGGAAGGGGGATAGAGGATGCTCGCAAACTTGGATCCGCCTCCAGAACTAGGGTCAGCTCCCGCCCCTAGATGAGCCTCCTGAACAGGACCCCTGCTAGTATCAGGATCTGAGAGTGGCCTTTGCAGCACCGTGGTCCTTAATGCCCGGGAAAGGGCCATCACACTGGCCTCATCACCGAGACAGTCACTTCTAATTGACCTAAAGCCTCAAGTAGCCTTTGCAAAATGGGACTTTAAACAGTAGTGACAGGACATTTGAATATTCACGACATGACAGCTGGGGTCCTTGTGAGACCCAGCTGGGCCACAGCCTTGCCTGCAGCATGTGGCCCTAAATCCTGGGTCTCAGAGGAGACCTGACAAGTGGGGCAGGTTTCCTGAGGAATCTGCTATTGGCTAGCAGGGGAAACCTAGGCTTTACCCACTGTGTTGGCAGCAGGGGCGCTGCAGCCTTGGAGGATAGTGGGGTACGGGTGAGGGGACATCTGACCAGCAGGTGTTGGCAGAGGGGACTGGGATTGGTGGCATCTCAGGGACGGAGGGGAGGGTGAGAGCTAGTGCTGGCTTGCCTCAGAGGGCTGGGTCCCAGCCAGGCCTGGAGCTTTGGTACCTTGCAGATACCATGGTGACCTCAGGGGCACCTCCTGGCATGATTCTTGCTTCCTGACAGGGCCTGGCCTATTCCCTTGAGTAGAGAGTGATCTACCCAGGCCAGAAGGTTGGCATCTGGGTGCCAGCTACCCAACCTGGGGGCATAGCCACCCTCGTTCTCTGCCCTATCCTCAGCCTAGACCAATGCACCCACCACTTCAGCTACACACGAACCTGGCCTAGGGCCCTGCTGGCCCCGGTGGGCAGTGGCTAGAGCTGCCCCTCAGACCCTGGTGAGGAAGGGCCTGGCTGGCCAGACTGGGTAGACAGAGAGGGCTCTGGGCTGCTCATACCCACTCCTGGACTGGCCGCTTATAGTAGGTGACGGGCTGAGGCCCCGCCTTGTTCTTGAACTGGAAGATCGTGTAGAGCAGCACCAGGAGGCAGAGGGACAGGGTGCAGGGGACGACCACAGCCACGGCATTCACGGAGCCTGGCACATCATCGATGGTCACCATGATGTCCACATCATCCTGGGGCAGCCTCCGCTCCTTACGCCGCTCTACTTCCTTCTGCTTGCAGCCCATCCAGTCACGCAGGATGTTGCGTGGGTAGCCTGGCTCCACACTCAGTTTCTGGTTGTCAAACTTCCAGTAGTCCCGGCCTTTGTAGAAGTAGGTGTAATCTGCAGGGAAGGGAAGGGCTCAGCACCACTGCTCCCAGACACTCCTAGCACCTGCTCTGGACTAGGGTGGACCTGGGGTGCAAGAGAGAAGCCCCAAGTGGCACGGTAGGTGGAGGGAGTGGCCTGCTGGAACCCAGGGGGTTGCCTGAGTGCTGTGACCGTACAGTAACTAACACAGCAGGGAGGCTCCCCCCCCCGACATGGAGTAGCCCACCTGTTGGTTCAGAGGTGTTGGGAAACCACTAAGGGGTTTTGAGTAGAGCTGGCAAAGGCTTTCATTTATACTGCCCAGGTTGGATCATTCTTAGTCTGGAAACAGCTCTGTCACACTGTGCCCCAGGCCTCCTTTAAGGGTCAGATCAAGCCCCCAGTTTAAGGCTTGTACAGTGCAATCTCCATAGCTCTAACTCTTGTCTAACTCTCGCCCCAAGCTAATGAGAGTTGAGGAGCAAAATTTGATCTGTTAGCCACAGACACCATGGCTCCACATGTGTGTGTGTGTGTGTGTGTGTGTGTGTGTGTATTTGGGGGGACTTGACATATCACTTTGTAACACAGATACAAGTTCTTAGGGCACTTCTAGTGGCTTTGATGGCTGGAAGGAAAGGAGGCAGGCAGCAGGCCAGGCAACTCTCCAATTACTCCCTAGGCAGCTCCCTTAAGGCTCCCAGCAACAGCCTTAGCAACCCAGCCATCTATAGACAGCAAAGCAGCTCACTTAGACTCTCCCCATTGGCTGGCTCCCCAGGACTTTCATTGGTCAAGGTCTTTGATGTCACCTGTCTCTGAGGCCCCCCAGAAGGCAGCACATTTTAAAGCCACGAACGAGTGGCACTCTCTGCCTTGTTTATTTCTTTTAACTTTGTCGCGATGCCATTTTCTGTCACTGGACTGAGAACTCGCCAAGGCTTGCAGCTTCTGGCCTGAGGCCCTCCCACACAAACTGGCTCTCAGTAATCATCGTGCAGTGAATGACCAAGTCCTGTCTTCTTACACAAACTGAAACACTAATGAGATCATAGGACAGCTGCAACCTCCACATGGCCCAGACTATGTGGTGGCATTTCGCCAAGTGTTCTCTGTGATTTCCCTTATCAGCCTTTTATCACACAGCCCACAGGTCAGTGCTGTGACCATTCCCATTTCATGATGGCAGACTGAGAAAAGTTCGGTGACTTGCCCAGCCTTACGAGGGTAGAGGGGGTCTGTGAACCCAGCCAGCCCTGTCCAGGAGTCACTGTTTTAGCTAGATCAACAGGCAGCCATGGGTGCTTGCTCTGCACCTGGTAAAGCCTGAACCTCCTTCGAGAAGCTTCTAATCTGGTAGAGAGACATACTAGGCGCTGCCTGATGGTATATGGTGAGCGAGTGCCAGCCTAGCCTTCAAACCCCATGAAAAAGCACCTTGAACCAAGCCTGTCCATCACTGCAGGTTAATTTACCATGTGAACATGGTCCGCGTGGGCCAGTTGTGTGTTATTAAGTCACATTCCTCAAATCTGGATACCCAGGGACTTCATCTGGGCCTTGAGAACCACTAAAATTATCTCCCCATTCCCACCTCAGCTTGGCTCTTACATCCTTCCTTGCTGATGAAGGCCCCTTGTGGAGCCTGCGGGATGCCCTTCCACACGGTGATGGGCTTGGGGTAACCAGGGTCTGTGGCTCGCCGCTCCTCACTGTAGCGCCAGTACCGTTCGCCTTTGAAGAAGTAAGTTTTGCCCACAGGTTCCCAGCGCAGAGCCGTGTCGATTCCTTCACGGGGCAGGCAGCTGCCCAACTCTCCCAAGCTGTGGGGGTACCCGGGTTCCACTGTCACCTCTTTGAACACCCAGTATTTGTCACCTGCGGGAAGAGTCCGGAATCAGCATGCAGGAGCCACCCAGGGCCGGGAGTTGTGGCTCACTTGCCCATCTTCATTCTTAAAGTCAGAATGTGTGACTTTTTAGCCCCTGGCCCAGCAGATTTGCGTAGCGAGAAGCCAATCAAAGATTTTGGGCAATGTGTGCCACGCTGCTCAGGCTCTCTAACCCTTCATCTTGGTTTTGTTGTTCCTTTTTGAGACAGAGTCTTGTTTTTTTATCCCTAGCTAGGCTGGAATTCATTCTGTAGATCAGGTTGATCTCGGATCTGTCTCCCACGTGCTGGGGCTACAGTGGAGCCACCATATGTGGCTACACACTTGTCTTCATCTCTTTCACTTTCGGTGATCACTCCTGTGGCATCACACACAACTACTTCCTGCAGCTGGAGTCAGGAGTGTGTGTGTGTGTGTGCGTGCGTGCGTGTGCGTGTGTGTGTGTATGTGCTGATGGAACAGAACCTACTGCTGAACAACCTGGAACTTCAGTGGGTTTATTATGTTTGGAACAGGGAAGGAGTTAGTGTCGGTGCAGGTGTCCATGGGTGAGTAGTCTCAGGGTGGAGGAAGACACAGTTAATAATTTTTGCACACATTAGTCAGCTGCTCACAAACATTCTCACCTGGAACACAACAAGGCTTTGCCAGTCCTAAGCCTGACCCATATGGGGAAGGTTGCCAGTTTCCCATGATCCTGGTTCCTTGGTCCTTGACATGGTTGGTTCATAACAAACAATACACACCCACGCGGGACCTCAGCCGCTCTTTACACACCTGCTCAGGACCTCAGCCACTCTTTACACACCCACGCGGGACTTCAGCCACTTTTACACACCCACGCGGGACTTCAGCCACTTTTACACACCCACACGGGACCTCAGCCACTCTTTACACACCCATGCGGGACCTCAGCCACTCTTTACACATCTGCTCGGAGCTCTCTCAGAGCTTCACACGCCCCTGTCTGCTCTACATGAACCTAACTCTGAGGCTATAGGCCCATAGCCTTTGACCTAAGCCCCACCCCCTCATATCCTGTGCTCTGCCATGGTCCCTGGCTCTTC